GGTTGAGAGACCTATTTGAATATAGCCATCTGTCAATCATATTGTGTCAGCCCTTTTATCATCTCTTGATCTTCTCTGAACTCTTTCCTATTCATCAGACAGCTTCTGGTACTGAAGAAAGCAGAACTGCAGACAGCTTTTTCAGTAGCCAATTGGTATCTTACACTCAGAAAACATCTTGTTAAATGCAGGAGCCGTAATTGAATCCTCCAGCCCTCCAACCATTGAATTGTGTGAACTGGCAAAATAATGAAAATATTTTTAACTCATTTCCCCAAGGCAAATAATTCTGGCCACAAGGCCTACCTATAGTTGGGAAAATTAATGAATAAGCAATGTGTTTAATCCTTTCAAGTGGATAACAAACACACTAAAGATGAATGAAGAATATTGGAAATGGATCCAAAATTATTTGAATCATCGGCTTCAGCGATCACCACCCAGCAAAGGACTTCTGAAATAGGATAACACGCGGAAATGCAGAATTCATGTCATCACTAGAGAGGTGATAACACAGGTGACTGTGTTGGTGGAAATACCAAGTAACTTAGGAGTTACTGCAGATATTTCTCTGTATGTGATCTCTGTGAACTACACTGGAACAAAAGAATTCTTTATTCTCAGAGGAAAAAAAAAAAATAAAGACCATCAAGAGGAAGCCAGCAAACAATCTTGCTTCCAGTAAGACCACTAATAGAATAGCATGTGAATTTTTGGAATTCATATTGAGAAAGTGATGTGGAAATACTAGGGCACTCAAGGATACAAAATGTTCTGAGCAGGAAAGTAAACTTCTACAAGTGAGGTTTCAGATGCTCACTGTATTGAAGAGAAAGCAGATCAAGGTGTGAACTGATCATTGTCTATAGCTTAACAGATGGGAAAGTAAGAGAATAGGAAGATTTTTATAGCTGTTAACAAAGAAGTGATAAGATAAAATAGTTAGAAGTTGAAATTACACAAAATTGAGCTTGAAATTGATTCTATAACCTACCTGAAGGCAATTGAAATATAATACTTTTGTTATCAAAGATCACAAATATATATGAAGTCTGCATTTATAGTCTCCAACATTTAACATGGTTTATGGAAAAAATAGGAGCTGCCCATACCCAGGGATGTAGTTGCCCAGCATTAGTCGGCCTTCCTTACGATGTTGTTTGTGGTTTTTTTCATGGTGAAAATACAGCATACACCACCATCAGTCTGCATATAGCTTTTGTAATTCTTCATTATAACTATGACTGTAATTCAGTTCACAGCATCCCAGATATGGCAAACATAGCTGGTGGCTTACAGTGTTCAGCAAGGACTTTTCCTCCATAGGTACATATTTGTCAAGAAATATTCTTGTGTCTTTTGGGCCATATCACAGATGTTATTCTGTTGTGTCTTCTCTTCCTTTCCCACCCTTGCTCTGGCACTTCCACACCAGGACACAGCTGATCTCAGGTCATAGTCTATTAAGCGACCAAGGGAATTTATATGTAATTTTGACTAATACCCGTGTACTTTCAGAACTATTAATAAGCAAGGAAGTTTTTCACTGGTCAACAAATAGATATTCTTTCTCTCCATCCCACCCCCCTTTTTTTTTTTTTTTTTTTTCTTCACTTGAATGAACAGAATTAATTATTTCCCTGGAATTCCCAGGGTCTTGTATTTGGTTTTAAAAATCAAAATTACTATTTTTTTTCCAGATATGGGACAATGAGGGGACAAACATTTATTTTCAGAGGGATGCAGATGTGTGTCTTTATTAATTTAGCATCTCAATTTATACTCCAGTTGAAAAAAGATGGGTATCTGTGGAGTGATAGAAGAAGCAGCACCAAATGAAACACCAAATATTATACTTATAATTGACATTGAGGGAAAAAAAAAAAGAAATTTAGTTTACCTTAACTGTCACCCATAGCATGCCCAGGGACTTGAAAGGCTACTTTTATCACCGTGACTCATACTGAGCAACAACTTAACCCTCCACTTTCACTCTGGTTATTGATTTGTCTTAGAAGACAACAGAAGGCCAAACTCTTTTCCCTGATGCCAGACATTAAAGGGAAGCATAGCTATACCTCAGAGCATATTGGGGGAAACAAAAAACAAGCAAAAAAAAAAAAAAAAAAAAAAAAAAAAAAAAAGAGAAAAAAAAAATCTGTTTGAGCACTGCCTGAGGTGTGTGCTACAATACTGAGTCTTGTGATGGTGCAAGAACAGCATCAGCAGACCCAAATGGTACTTTCCAACCTCAAATCTTTTGATGCCAGTGGAATGTCTACCTTTGATTTTCATCCTTTACCAGTGTAGTCTGGTTCATAAGCAAATTTATCTCCAAGGGATTATCAAACAAATGGAGTGGACTGGTTCTCCAGTACACTTCCCATTGTGCTATCTGTACTTACTGGGGAGTCTTACTATGAGGAGGTGTTTGAAATGAATAGGCACGTAATCTACTTTATCTAGACAGAATAAGAAACAAAACTAGTAATTTGTAGTAATTTGTTTGTTTTGGTTTGGTTTGTTTTGTTTTTTTTTGTTTGTTTGTTTGTTTGTTTGGTTTTTTTTTTAAATAAAGGATATAATCTAATTCCTAGTACAGAAGTTCCCACATCACAAAAGCCATTGTTGTTTTCTCACTTTTTGGAACTTATTTTGTACACATAATCCTGAAATTAATTACATGAGTAATGTATCTGTATCAGTAGAAATACGGCATTTATGCAACACTGGCAAAAAATGAGGGAAATCAATGGGGTAAGCATGTCTCTGTTAAACAGGTCAGGCTGAGAAAATTTTTTTCAGATTTTTCCTCTAACAGCTCTAAGACTAACTCTTATCTTTTCTTAATTCCTTCTCCTCCCTTCTCTTTTATTATTTTATGATTGAAGCCTGCAAATATAGATCTAAATATTTTCCAAAACTCTATATTAGAACAAAAACTATATGTTTTACAAAAATCTTGGGGTAATTATTTGAACAATCACTTTTTTTTTTTTTTTTTTTTTTTTAAGGTGGCAAGAAATAAACTGGCAATCAGTCTGATAAATAAATCACGAAAGATGGACATTTTCTCTAAGATAAAAAAAACCCAAAACAAAACACACCAAAAACCAAAAAACAACTTACTGGTAACAAATATTTATAAAGTTTTGAAGTTTTTTAACATTCTTCTTCTCATCCGAGATGCAACTTTCACAGGATAGGTAACATGAAATTCACTTTGCATCTATGATACATCCCTCCTATGGATAAACATGTACTTCCATTTACCAGGAATAACAGTAAATCACCTTCACTATTAAGTAAAACAACTTTAAACAGCAGTAGGAAAAAACAAACAAACAAAGAAAAAAAACCAAAACAAACTAGAGTAACATTTTATTAAATCAATAACATGCACTCAAATTTAGATTATGGTGCAATCTGATCAGAATTTGAAGGATGCCGAGATAATTTTTCATTACACAGAGGTTTTCTATTTTATTCCCTTGCACAGGCACATCAATTTTTTTGTTCTTTCCTGTAGTCACTGTACAACCCCTCAGTTAATTATTCTTAATGCTTTGCAGAATGTGCTGCAGTTAATTATTGTTATTAGTATAATTAGTTTGCTACATATCAGCCAGAAATGCATGGTGTCAGGATTTAGTATTTTTTATACGTTTGTATACAGTTTTTTTAACACTGGAATACAGACTAGGGACCATGAGAGTACTGGGTTCACTGTCCAGGTGCAGACCTCTGAAGATATATATAAGCAAATCCTGTTTCAAAACCACTAAGATTCTTAGGGTTTAAACCCTGAGTCAGGTAAGTTGAAGTAGGTTTGAATGGTGCTGAGCTGGCCTGAGATTTGTCATTGGACCAAAGAAGACTGATTGGATTTTAACTACAATTACAAATGTGTAGTTTTGCTA